ACCTTTTACTCAATTTGATCAAATAAATTTAAGTTAAAGGTATGCAATTTTAAGAAAACGCAATTTCTTAGTTTTTATGCATACGACTCATTGTATGTAATTCCTTTGTATTTTTTATTTTGTTAAAAAATACAATAAACAAAAATTTTACGTTTTTTTTTGCCGAAGTGACGATTTTTTCGGGTAAAGTGACGATTTTCCAGCGAAAGCTTTCGGCAACACTGCTCGTAGCAGCAAAAAGAAGTGTTGCCGTTTTGATCCATATACTTCAAAAGTGATACGTGTTTGTGCAAATTTTCGGAAGATACTTTATTTTCTCGCTCATTTCGCGTGATACTTTAATGTTTTCCCATTGTACAAATTTTGATACATGTTAAAGAGAAAACATCTATGTGTGTATACAGTGCCTGCTTTTAAAACTTGATCGAAAATATTCAAACGTTTTGGGGACAAATAAGCTAAGCCGGTAAATTTCGTTACCATCGCATAAGCTGGTAACAAAGTATTGCCCCGTGAATATGAAATCGTTTACCTAGCCGAACGGGTATCCAGACTAGTGATAGAACAATACGAGTAACGAGTACAGAATATCGATACTTTTCATGAGTATTGAGTAGTGTCGAGAACTCGATACTTTTTCACAAGTACTGAGTAAGTATCGCGAATACCAAATGGTATCGGCAGGTAAAAACCTTTTTAAATATATTTTTTTTAATTACATAAAAAATTCGTTCTTTGAATTGCATTGAAAAATGTTTAAAAGTTATCCAATAATCATTATGGCGAAAGCTCGAAATTTTTATCTTGGATATGTGAATGTCGTGAAAATGAATTTAATTCAATACTGTCAAATCTCAGAAACATTTCAACATTGGGCTCGGTTGAAAATTCTTAAATAATTGGAAAAGAAATTCTTGTCTGACCTTCGAATGGGGGAATAGTGTGGTCTTCGACTCGGCTCGGAGACTTGGCCATTCTCCAGTATAATGGAGCCTTCGTTAATAGTCCGGTCAATTTAGACATTCGAGGTTACGAAAATTCCCACCCAGCCAAAAATTGGTAGGATTGTTCAAAACACCATCATAAATGAAATGTAAAAAGTCCTCATCGATCCGGTACCTGGAAAAAAGTTACTCGAGGTCAAAGTTCACAAAAACGGGTTTTTCGCGATTTTCAGCAACACGGTAAGTTTATCATAAAATTAGTTTAGACAAAAATTGTAGATCAGACAATAATCTATAAAAACTGTCAAAATACTTTTTTCCCTAAGAGCCACCGTTTCCGAGATATAACGATTCAAAAAGTTGGAAGTTGGAAGAGTTGTAATCGGCATGATATGTATAAGTTCAACAAAGGTGGCGTGGAAACGTGTGCATATTATGACGATTACAACTCTTCCAACTTTTTGAATCGTTATATCTCGGAACCATTTGCATTCAAAAACTTTAAATAAGCTTTTTGTTATAAATATTTATTTACGTTTGTAGAAGTAAACTTATTGCAAGTTTATTTGAAAAACTCCTTTAGAAATGCTTGTTAATCAGATTTCAACTATTAAAATCAGTGTCTATTCAATTTACAAATAGGAAGAGGTCATACAAGCAAAGTAACCTGATTTTTATTAACCTTTCTCGTTTGCTTTAAGTATACTTGGAAGTTCGAGTATTATCGATACTTTTAAGCAAATATGAGTACTGGCATCGATTCTTCTTTAGAGCATTCTATATGAGTACTAGTATCGATACTTTTATAAAAAGTTCTATCACCAACCAGTGGTGCTAGCTTAGTCATTTTCCGGCTTGATTTAGCCGGTTGCGATAGCAAACAGCCGGAAAAAATTCGATTTAGCCGGCAGCCGATTTGTTAACCGATTTGCAAAAAAAAGTCAGCCGTTTTTAGCCGATTTCGCCATTCGTCGTATTTCATTAAAATTCAATATAACATATACATAACATATAAGTTTCCATTTTTACATATTTGGCAACCCAAAATCTATTAGAAACTGCTAAATTTATCTCGGAGAAAATTTGCATGTCGGACTGTATTAAGTATATAAAATTTAAAGAATTTTCTCTAATCCGAAAAGTCTTAAAAACTGAGCCGAATTCAATGATTTTTAATTTATGTAAATATATAGTGACACAAATATGAACTGGGACGCAACTAAAATGTATTAATTTTTATGAAAGTATTGCTGATTACTTAAAAACACCATTTAAATCCAAATTTCATATTTTAGGCAAAAATTATGAAAATTCTGCATTTTTTTTTATTTAAAATTTTAGTAAAGTAAAATGAAAATTTAAGGTTGATTTTTGGCAATTTTTTGTTGACAGTGTTCCGCATTTTTTGGGTGCAAAAAAATCCGTAACAACATTATAAAAAATTACAAAAATCAACGGTAAGTTCCAGCTACTTAAAATTTTCACCACAAATATTAGACTAAATTTTAATGGCCTACAAAACTGCCTACATACCATTTTGTAAATATGTATGCCGATTAAAAAGTTAAAAACGTTGGTGAAATTTTTCAGAATTTTCATAATTATTGAACAAAGTCTGAAATTTCCATAAAAAAATAATAAACATTAAACTAAAAAAAATCAAAGAAGGACGTAGCGGAAACTTTCTTTATACAATTTTTGTTATGAATGGCTTAAATTTAAGTGCGAAGTTTTATACGCAAACATTTAAGTATCTCGCGAAATGAGCGAAAAAATAAAGTATCATCCGAAAATTTGCACAAACTCGTATCACTTTTGAAGTACTTATGTAGATCAAAACGGAAACATTGCTATTTGCTGCTCCGAGCAGCGTTGCCGAAAGATTTCGCTGGAAAATCGTCACTTCACCCTAAAAAAATCGTCATTACGGCGAAAAAATCGTAAAATATTTGTTTATTTTTAACCGACTTCCAAAAAAGGAGGAGGTTATCAGTTCGTCGGAATATTTTTTTTTTTTTTTTTTTATGTATGTTACCGCATAACTTTGGACCACGTCAACCGATTTCGATAATTCTTTTTGCATCGGAAAGGTAGTGTCTCAGAGGTGGTCCCATTCTAATCTGGTTGAGATCCGATCAGTGGATCATGAGATATATATACATATATATTTATTTTTATATGGGATTGAAGTCGGTTTTTTTTTTGCTAAAAATTACTTGTTTTTTAACAAAATAAAAAATACAAAGGAATTACGTCCAATGAGTCGTATGCATAAAAACTAGGCAATTGCGCTTTCTTAAAATTGCATACCTTTAATTTAAATTTATTTAATCAAATTGAGTAAAAGGTCTGAAATTAAAAAAAAAACAGCATTTGCTTAGGTTTTACGCATACGGGCTAATAAATATGACCACACATTGCAAAACCAAATGGAACCCACATTGCATATGGGTTAATAAAAGTGTATTTGTCATTATTAACGACAATTTAAAATTATAATTTAAAACACAACTGCTTTCAAATAGTTGAACTCCACTGGTTTAAAGTTTTTGAAGATTTTATCCAGTTTTAAAGTAGGGGTCTTCACACCGAGCTTAGTACTCGGTGTTCTGTAATTTTTCCCAATGTATTTCGTTTGTGTAAAATTATTTTATTATCGGTGTAC